CAAACCCCACTCCTTCTGGCACTGATGGCGTTGCCTAGTTGGGTCATGAGACGTCTGCAAGAAATCCACCAAACTCACGAGTACATCAAAAGGCTCCACCGTTCAGCCTTCAAGAGTCACAAAGACACGCTCTTCTTTTGGACATAAAAAACAATTTTGAAAGATAATAATTGTCTTATGATTTCCACAGTTCACTGAAAAACAGTCTGATGATGCCCATGTAGTCCTTGACTTACAGCCTCAGTAGGAACCCGAATTTCCACCGCCAAGCATTTTAACCTGATATTTACCATCCTTTTTTTGCCACCATTGTTAAGTGAATCCCTATAGTTGTTAAGTGAATCAGGCAGTCCTGCTTCCCGTTATTGATTTTGCTTGTCAGAAGCCGGCTGTAGAGGTCACAAAAGGTGACCCCTGGGACTCTGCAACCATTGGAAATACAGTTGTTAAGTGAATCTGGTTTCACTTAACAGCCGCTTCACTGGTTTTGCTGGTCAGAAGGTCGCAAAGTGGGATAACCTGACCCCTGGGACTCTACAACCATCATGTGAACTGGTTGCCCAATGTCCAAATTTAGACCACGTGGCTGTGGGGAATGCTATGATGGTCGTAAGTGTGAGGACCGCTCCTAAATCACTTTATTCAGGGCTGTTGTGTCTTTGAATGGCCACTAAACGAATGGTTATAGGTCAAGGATTACCTGTACATTGTTAGCAAGGATGAATTTTGTGTAGGTCTTGGCAACGGCTCTTTCTTTCCAAAAATAATGTCCCATTTTGGTAGTGTGATGACCCAAGGGGGCGTGGCACAAAGGCAACACAGTCAGATAATCAATAGGAATTCCTTTATTATCTCCAACTTTGCCCCCAATGTCCAGGTTACCTTCCGGCTGGAGGAAAAAAAAAACTCTCCCAGGAACCACCTTTGACTGCAGAAAATTAAGTCCAAAACATAGTCAACACAAACTGTAACTTAAAGTCCAAACAAGCCAAACTGAAGTAATTAGTTTGGCAGGGCAGGAGCAAGAAATTCAGACTTGAAGCCACAGCCAAACTCGCACGGTTGGGAAGATGCCAGGAACACAGATAAGCCACGACAATACAAGATGCAGTCATGTTTGCTCCCCACAGTCTGGCACATGCAGCTTGCCTTTCTTATAAACTGTTCCCAGCTGCATCTAATGAAGGGAATCAGGGCCCTTTCCTTCCCCGTAAGCCATGCAACCCACGTTGCTCCCTTCTCCGTTCCTCCCTGCGTGCCTTAGGATGAGGAGGGGGTGGGCCTGGGTCTTCCTCTGAACTCCCTCTCCCTTGTTCTACCTCTCCCCTGCTCTGCCCAGCTAGACTTTGCCCTTCTCCAGTTTCCTCCACAGCCAAGGGAGCCACATTCCCACTCCCTGCCGGCTGTTCGTCTTCCTCCTCCTCGGAGTCAGACTCCGACAGGGGCACGACAGGCAGCCTCTGACGGGCTGAGGGTTTTATTTCTGGAAAACAAGATTTTCCTTCCAGGATGACAAACCACCAAAGGGAACAAAAAAAGGAAAGAAAGAAAGAAAGAAAGCAAAATAATTCCGCCTTGCTTGCTGTTTAATTCCGTTTTAATTTTCTTTTAGGAATGCTAGCGGAAGGATGGTGTTGTCCAAGGAAGACAAAGAAGCCGCCAAGCTGGGCCTAGCCGTGTTTACGGTAAGCTGTGTGGTGGCCGCACAACGTTGTGTCAGAACTAGTGTTGTTACCTTTCCGCTTTCCTAACCCACCCGCCTGGGTTTTTTTGATTGGTTTTTCTTTTTTTTGTCTCGGAAATTTCAGCATCAACCGGTCACAAAGGCTGACAAACCCTCAGGCCCTCCAGAGAAACTGGATGAGGACAGCAAGGCGCTGGAGTAAGTGACTTTTATCATTCTTATTTTTTAATTGATCCACAGGTAGTCCTCCTCGACGGATCAACAGCTCGCTTAGGGACCTTTCAAAGTTACGACGGCAATATTACGGCCGTTTTTTAAACTAACATTGCAGCCTCCCCCGCAGTCAGGGGGGTCAAAATTCAGGCGTTTGGTAACTGACTCGTATTTGCGACGGTCCCTTTTGCAACCTTCTGACCAGCAAAAGTCAACGGGGAAGCCGGATTCACTCAACGGCCATGCTGCTTAATTTTTAACAAATGCTGCGATTCACTTAGCAACCGTGGCAAGGAAGTTCGCCGGACGGGCAAAACACACTTAACAACTCTCTTGCTTATTAGCCCACGTAAATTTGGGGCTCCCTTGGGGTCGTAAGTCGAGAACTACCCGCGCCACATCGTTGTCTGTGTCCTATACGATCCAAGCCGCTTTTGGGGGCGACGTTTTGGCGCCTCGGTAAGGGATATTTGGGGTGGAACAGGAGAGGGTGGTCCAAGAGCGACATCCTTTCCTTGATCTATCTTGTCAGGAGGAAAGTCATCAAGAAGTCGAAAAAGGAGAAGGACAAGAAGAAGAAGAAAAAGAAGAAGAAGGAAAAGGGGAAGAAGAAAGAGAAGAAAGAAAAGGAAGAAAAGAAGAAGGAAAAAGACCAGAAGAAGAGAAGGCCTTCCTCATCAAACAGCACGACTTCGGATCACGAGAAAAGGTATCATTTGAGACCCTGGGCCGGGGGATTCTGGGAGTGGAAGTCCCATCAGTGGCGGGATACAGATTTTTTTAACTACCGGTTCTGTGGGCGTGGCTTGGTGGGCGTGGCAGGGGAAGGATACCGCAAAAAACTCCTCCCTCCCTACCCCACTAACCTGCTTTCCAGCTCCGTTCTCCTGTGCAGGGCAACCAAAGGAGACCCAGCCGATTAGCTGGGACTCAATGGGAGGCAGAGAAGAGACGGGGTTGGCGGGGCCAGACAGAGGCGGGATTGGCCGGTTCTTTTAACTACTCAAAATTTCCGCTACCGGTTCTCCAGAACCGGTCACAACTGTCTGAACACCCACCTCTGAAGTCCATCCATCTTAAAGACCCTGTTGCTATAACTCTTCTAATAGCTATAGGTCTATTGAGGGTCTGTTTCCTTGGTCCGGTCTACCTTATAGGGCTGTCGGATGTAACGAGCGTTTTGCCTTTAACTTCGTTCCCTTAGCAAACGCATTGTGCGGTGGGTGGCATTGTGAACAGCCTTTTAGTTCGGAAATCTTTTCCGCATCTTGTAGAGATTAGAAGTTTAAGATTTGGCCCAAAAGGAAAATTGATCGCACTTTCAACCGGAGTGGGATTCGCGTTTAACACCGCATTCCCCTTTTTTTGAAGTTATGTTCCTAGCCTATTGGAACTTTAACGTTTAACTGTCGAATTCTTCTAGTTAAGCAAGCAGTGGCCAATCAGGATATAGGCAGTCCTCAACTTACAGCATTTCGGTGGGCGGACGTTTGAAGTTACGACGGCCCTGGGAAAAGAAGTGACTTGTGGCTGTTTTTCCACAACTTTTCCACCTGGCCATGTATTCAGATTTGGCCATGGACTCATGCTTATGGTAGTCACAGTGTCCCGTGTGTGCGTGTGTGTGTGTCACACAATCCCCTTTTGCGACCTGCTGACAAGCAAATCCAATTCACTTAACAGCTGTGCGACTAATTTAACAACGGCAGTGGTTCCCCTTAACAACCGTCTGAAGAAAGATTGTAAAACAGGGCAAAATTCACTTAATCCCGTTCCTGCTTAGCAACTGAAACGTGGTTGTAAGTCAAGGGCTACCTGAGTAACCTCTATCATAAAGCGATGATAAGCTAGAAGATCCACGGTCTTGGGATCTTCTAACTTGGTCTGCTTTGCAGGGCTGCGAATCGCATAACCTGACTTTGCCTTGTTCCTATTTTCACCTAAATCCTCTCTGGATCCTAGCCGGCGCGATAGACCATCGTCCCCGCCCCGAGCAGCGCACTCGTCCTCCGACCGGTACCCGCGCGAAAGGACTTCGACGTCTCCCTCCAAGCCGAAAAGGGACGACCATCCACACCAAAGTCATAGAAAGTACTCCGCTTCCAGAGACAGAACTTCAGAGCCCCGGAAACGGACGCAGGGTGAATCCTTAGACTACCACCCAGCCAAGAAGTGGCACGACATGGATTCCGACAATTGATCCATCCTTTTAAAACAAACCCAGATTTACCTATCATGTCGCTATTTTGACCGTTAAAGCGGAGATGGATTGTGGTCTGGTGCAAAATTCTGCAACCTTTTCTTCTATAGATGGGGCGCTGATGCCCCTCCGTCCATTAGCACCGCTACTCGAGAATTATTATTATTATTTCTTTTTAAAGGATCCTGTCTTTTATTGGACATAAAATTTAGCTATGCTTACCTGGTCAGGGCAAATCCGTAGTTTACAAATGCCAGGTGCAAAATATGGAATTATCAGAGGGTTGGGATTTTTTTTTTTTCCCCTCCTCCCAAAGTTGATAAAAAGAAGTCTGATGGGGTCGTGTAGAATTTAAATTTTTAAAAAAGCAATAGAATTTGGGGATCAGGTACATCCCAAGTAGGAAATACTGTCAGATTGCAAAAAAAAAAAAAAAAATCGCTTCTGAATTTCATCAGGCCAAACCAAGGAATGGAAACATTTTATGGGGTTGTTGTGGGGGTTTTGTATGTGTGTGTGTGTGTAGTTGCGAGTGTCAACCAATTTCAGAAGCTACCTTGGTTCTTACAATTAAAGAACAGATTAATTACAGATATTGTCATTAAATTGAATCATTGGAATCAGTTCAGCACCTTCGTTTCTCTTGTGACAAGTCTAAAAGGTGTTGGCCACTGATGTGTCTTCTAAGCTCAAATTATATTCTGCCTGCGATTTTTCTTGGGTCCAAGAATTTTGGGGGAATTACACCAACTCCAGAAGAAATAGGCCGAGGGTTACGAAAACATAAGGCAAAGGATAAATGTATTTAATTAATTAACTTGGCTTATTTCCAGCAAGCTGCATCACTGCCAATTTTAAAACTACTACGTTTTGCAATTTAAAAATTACGAATCCCTTTGCAAATTTACAAATTCTGAACCCTTTTGCAGGTTACAAATTCCAAACTCCTCTGAAATTTAAAAATTACAGACCCCTTTTCAACTTAGAAATGTTGAACCCTTTGCAGTTTACAAATTGAAACTCTTTGCAATTTACAAACGACAAACCCCTTTGCAATTTAGAAATTACAAAACACTCTCAATTTTCAAATTGCAAACCGTTATGCAATGCACAAAATTGAAAATGCTTTGCCATTTGCAAATTCAAAATCCCTCCTCAGAATTCAAAGGGAATTTAACCTTAGGGAATCCTCTAACGACCATTTGTTTAGCGGCCATTCGAAGCGACCGCGTCACTGAAAAAAGTGACATGACTGTCTTTTATACTTAACGGTTGCAGTATGCCCTTGGTCACGTGGTCAGAATTCAGAGGTTTGGCAACTGACTTCTAGTTATGACAGTTACAATGTCCCTGGAGTCACGTTATCGCCTTTTGCGACCTTCTAACAGGCAGTCAGTGGGAAAAGCCAGATTCACTTAACAACAATTTTACTAACTTAACACCTGCAGCAATTCACTTAATAACTGTGACAAAGGTGCGTAAAACGGGGGCAAAACTCACTTAATAACACACTCAACAACGGAAATGTTGGGCTCCATTGTGGTCATAAGCCAAGGACTACCTATACACAGCCCATGTCAATGTGCACAGTGATTTTACAGATCCTTCCCACCCTGAAGGCATTTGGAGTTGCCTGCTGGGAGAGAAAGAATGTGCTACCTTCATGAGGACTGGCATCCTGGCACTTCCTGGGAGAAGCCGGGTGGCAACAGATGGCTAAAAATTCTTTTATGGGCTGCTAATTGCAGGTGACTGAGTAGGTCTATCCATTTGGGGGCACAGCCTTTATCCTCGCTGGTTCGGCTCCATTCTGTGGCTTGTCTGTTGTGATGTCGTCTCATGTTTTGTGCTGGGTAGGAGTGGGCAACACCCAGGTAATTCAGCCACAACTTTGTCCTCTTCCTCATTTTCCTGCAAGTGGTTTTATTTTGCAGTCATTAAGAGGAGGTGACTTGGGGGAACAACACAGAATTTGACTACAGCAGAGTTACCCAACCTCCAGCTCCCAGAATTCCTTGGCCAGAATGGTTTAGGAAGGGTGGACTTCAATTCCCAGAATTCTCCACCCAGCAAGCTGGCTGGGGAATTCTGGGAATCGAAGCCCACAAAATCTGGAGACCCCTGCTTTAAGAGGGGTAGAGTTCAACTCCCAGAATTCCCCAGCCAATGTGGGTGGACTGGGGAATTTTGGAAGTTGAAGTCCACCCATCTGGTCTTTATTAATAATTACAGGTAGTCCTCAACTTATGACCACAATTGAACCCAAAATTTATGTTGTGAAGTGAGAAATGTGTTGAGTTTTACTCCATTTGTTAAGTGATTTGCTGCAGTTATTAAATCAGGTTGCAAAATGTGATCACATGATCCCAGGATATTGCGACCATCATAAATACAAGTCAGTTGACAAGCATCTGAATGTAAATCATGTGACCATGGAGAGGCTGCAGTGGTCATAAGTATGAAAAATGGTCATAAGTCACTCTTTTTCAGTGCCGTTGCAATTTCAAACAGCCACTAATGAACTGCCGTAAAGGACTACCTGCACATGGTTTGCAAGTTTGTTTTGCCAAGTCATGAAAAATGGGGAAATTCATTTTGTGACCTGAAATATCTCTTGTGACCTGACGAATAAAGTCAATGGGGAAAGCCAGATTCACTTAACAACTGCAGTGATTCACTTAGCAGTTGTGGTGAGAAAGGTCATAAAATTGGACTAAAGTCACATAACGAATGTTTAACTCGGGAACAAAAATTTGGGCTCAATTGTGGCAATAAATTGGTGGGAATATATTAGGAATAATAGCAGATTTTGATTGCAGATGACCACTAGATGGCAGCAAAGGTTTGTTTTTTTTTTTGTTTTTTTAAAGGGGAGGAATTTTTTTGTATTTTTTGCTGCCCTCTTCTGGTCTTCCAAAGTGTTGCAGGCTAGAGCTAGTAATCTACAGATAGTCCTTGACTTAACATTTATTTAGTGGCCAGTTATAATGGCACTGAAAAAAGCAACTCATGACCATTTTTTACAGTTATGATTGTTGCACCTGTGATCCTGTGATTGGCATCTGGTTCATATTTATGACGGCAGTGTCCCAGGGTCACATGAACACCTTTTGCGACTTTCTGACAAACCAGATTCACTTAATAAACATGTGACCATCTGAACAATGGCAATGATTTGCTGAACCAGTGTGGCAAAAAAAGTCGTAAAATGAAACAAAATGATTTAACAACTGCCTTGCTTAAAAAAGGAAATACTGGGCTCAATTATGGTTATAAGTCAAGGACTACCCATAAAAACCTTAACCACAGACATATCTGTCTGAGCCTCGGTGGCGCAGTGGTCAGAGTGCAGTACTGCAGGCTACTTCTGCTGACTCCAATTTGACAGTTTGAATCTCACCAGGCTCCAGGTTGACTCAGCCTTCCATCCTTCTGAGGTGGGTAAAATGAGGACCCGGATTGTTGGGGGCAAGAGGCTGACTCTGTAAACTGCTTAGAGAGGGCTGTGAAGCACTATGAAGTGGTATATAAGTCTTAAGTACTATTGCTATTATAGATGCTTTTTTTCAGATTTTCTAAGAGAACAATTGCATTGTTAGATAGATCTGAATTTGAATTGACTTCCCAAAAACTGGAGAAAAATGGGAGCATTTGCTCCCTTTAATTAAAGTGTAATTGTTAATTAAAAATTAAAATTCAGGTTCAAATTAACCAAGACCTTCATTCATTTCTGAGTTAACTTGAATGCAAATTTTAATTTCAAATAACATTTTAATGGCTTTTTTAAATAAAGGTTTTGAAGAAGTTTTAATTCTGCATCCCAAACACCATGGGTCTTCATCTTTTCCTTGTTTTATCTCATCTCTTTTAAAATTTGGGAAGCCACTACTAGTCATGTCAGTGTGAGGTTGGAGATGCCTAAATTTAATTCATCAATAAATGAAATAAACCTGAGGGGAAAATCCACCAGGGCCAAAAAAACCCCAAATAGGTTACATTGAGAAGTGGGGGGGAAACAACAGGTGGACGTAAAAGCAACATATAGAAATGAAATAAGTAAAGGAGGGAAGGAAAAGAAGGAAGGAAAGGAAGGAAGGTAGCAAAAGAAGAAAAAAAGGAAGGAAAGAGAAGGAAAAGAGGAAGAAAGAAGGAAAGGATGAAGAGAAGGAAGAGAAAGGAAGGGAGGGAGGAAAGGTTGGGGAATGAAAAAATGGAGAAGGAAAGGAAGGAAAAAAGGAAGAAGGAAAAGAGGAAGAAAGGAAAGGATGAAAAGAAGGAAGAG